CCTACCAGAAGACGAAGTTGACGCCGGCCGCGATGCGCGCGGTTGAGACGCAAGAAAAAGAGAGCGTGGAGGCGGTCCGGAAATTATACAGCGAGCTCGATGTGGATAATCCTGGTAATATCGCAGTGTCCTTCGACGGGTCATGGATGACCCGCGGACATACGTCCCACATTGCTATTGGCGCTGTCATTGAGCTATTCTCCGGGCTCGTCTTAGACCACGTTGTATTGAGCAACTTCTGCGCTGGTTGCGAACGTGGACCTAAACCAGACGACCCCGACTATGAAGAGTGGAAGGCCACTCACAAATGCCAAAAAAACTCTGACAAGAAGTCGGGTGAAATGGAAGTTGAGGCTGGCCTTATGCTCTTCAAAAGATCTTGGGAAAGGCACAAACTAAGGTACACAACTGTTTTGTCTGACGGCGACAGCAGGACGTTCCTCGCCTTGAAGGAGGCTGAAGTGTACGGATACATCGACATCGAAAAGGAGGAGTGTGTCAACCATGTACAGAAGCGTATGGGGACAGCCCTTCGCAATCTGCTGGCAAAACAGAAGGGGTGTGATGCCCAACCTCTAGGTGGAAAGGGGAGGTTGACTGGGGACCTAGTAAACAAACTCTAGCTCGTACTATGGTCTGGGCAATAAAGTCTCATAGTAGTAACGACAGTGGATGCAATGGAAAAGGCTGTGTGATAGGCAAACTTATCATCATGTGACATCCTAACGACAGTCAATTCGAATCAACAGCCTTTTCCGTACTAGGTCCAGATTCCTGGTGACGGCAAAATTCTGCTAAAGCTAAAGGAGAGCCAGCGCCAGGGACATCGTTACAAACCTCCCTGAGTAATGGGGCAAAGGCTCCTGCTTTACCGCATATACCACCGCTTATTCTGAGAGGAAGCTTCTGCGTGCGGTGTGTGCGCTGCAAAACACAAAACAGCAAATGAGAGCCTGCACCTCGCTAGTGTGGTCACTATCGCCCAAAAGAGCAGCACGCATCTCTCTTTCAGCATGGAGGCAGCTATGGCTGAAGCTGTCATGATCTTCACTGCAGCCGTGAAAGAACTTCCTACAGGAATTTGCACGAACTATGCATGAACCCCTGGTCATCGAAGCTGTGAAAACGCATGCGAGGGAAAAAGGGACCAGCGGCGATCTGTTTCATATCGCAAAGCTTGTGGGCGTTGCGGGCGTAGCGGTAGCGTTTGTCACTCAACAGGAGCCCCCAAAAGGTAAGCGTAGGATGTCAGTATTTGGCGGATGGCTATTTAACATAATCGTCCGCAGTTTCCTTCTGAAGAAATAAAGTTTACCATCAATCCCAGTCTTATGCACACGGCAGGCCCAACGCGTCTTGGTGGCTTTCAGCTGCTGTCACCAGTAGCGAACACAAAACTCTTCGACTCTGAAGAGCCTACCGGCGGCCCTGTTGCCATTGTTTAGTGCATGATCAATTAATTTCAACTTGAAAGCAGCGTGTAGCTTCAGTAACGCCCCATAACAGGACAAGATTACCACAACAACATACAAAACACGCCCTAACGCGCACTTGCTGCTTTGGCTTGGCTTGGATTGAATCTCCGTGCAATAATAGTACGTTTGATGCTGAAGAGATGGCGCCACATAGCGTGCACTATCATCATCAACGGCTTAAACAAGCAGACGACAATATTGCGGCAATTTTCGGGGGTGCGATAATTACTCGAGGAAAAAACAAATCGTATTTTTGTTGGCCGATGTGGGGGGTGCGAGGATTATGCGAGTGCGAGGATTACGCAAGTAAATACGGTAATTGCGAATGCTTTATGAAAAATCCCCAATCAAAGCTGAAATACTGCCACTGCCAATGATTGCCTTTAGTTTTGCAATTAACTTGCTATGACAAACACGATCAAATGTTTTACTGAAATCTAGGAATATGATGTCTGTTTGGCCGCCATTGTCAATCACCCGTACGATATCCTGAACAACTTCAGTCAACTGCGTTACTGTTGACATCTCGCATCTGAACCCATGCTGGCTAGATGCTGGTACGCTGTTTTCTTCAAGATAGTATACAGTCAAGTGTTTCAATATTATATGTTCTAGGATCTTGCACGATGGTACTAGTAAGAGAAATGGGTCGATAGTTAGAAGGAGAGTTCATGTAACCTGATTCATGAATTGGAATTACTTTTGCTTTCCTCCAGTCATTTGGCAAACGCGCAGTTGAAAGTGACATGCGATAGATTATGCCAAGGGATGTGCTGTACCATTCTGCGTATTGTTTTAGAAATTCGTTTGGGACATTGTCAGGACCACTAGATTTTACTCCAAGCAGAATGTTAAAGATTCCTAAATCAGATATGGTGAGTGGATCAATGTTGGATCCTGTAGAAGCAACTGGGGGAAGAAACTCGTTATCTGTAGTAAATACAGATTGAAAATATTTGTTGAATGAATCAGCTTGGACAACGTTTTCATCCTGAGGGCGTTCTGGCATCAAAGTTTTACGCGCACGAAAATCATCCCCAAATTTCTTTGGATTTTTTTTTAGGAAATCAGGTAGGATGGTATCATAGTATTGTTTTCGCGACTCGTTCAGCTTTAGTTTCAGCTCTTGTTTAGCGCTAATCAGTTTTAGATTTCTGGACTGATTGACTTTTTGTCTTCTCCAAGGAACGACGTAATCTTAACTTTTCATTTGGCATGTATTATTTCACGCGTTACCCATGCATTGTATTTTCTTGGTTTCCCAATTTTTAACGGAATAAATTTGGCAATGCAGTCATGTATTGTAGTATTAAAGTTTATCCAAAGGGCATTTACGTCTGCCGATGGACCAAAAGCAAATTCTGAAAATGGTGTGAATTCATGAGCCAGGTATGTGAAAATGCCTGCATTGTTTGATTTCTCACAGTCAATGATTTTCCTTTCAAAGTACTTTTTTGAAATAGAGCACGACAGAGGCAGGTGGCATATCAGTATATTGTGGTCGGATATTCCTTCAACAATACTTGTTAAGAGTTTTGTTTATTGGGAAGTGATCACTGAGGAGTATTAAATCAAGTATGTTCTTTGCAGTGCCTTGTGAGGCTACCGTGTCGCTGCGATTGTGCGTTGCAGTTTGCAAGAGGGCAAACGCTATTCTAGAACTCATATGGCACTTGCTATGCCAGCGACATCGCAGCGCCTGCAAATGTTTTTCTAAAACTCCCTATTGTAGTAGGGCCGCAGTGACGCCGACTTGCTTTGCGGACGCGATAAGTAATCACCGAAAGGAGATGAACACGACTAACAAGGCCTCCTGGAGCACATGTAGAAGTGAAAAAGAAAGGAAAAACCTGAGGCGTATGGCAGTCATCACTTCTACCAAAAAAAAAGATAGAAAAGAAAATTCCTCGCGTTTCGTTTTCTGCTCCTTCGCTGTCTCAGGTTTCCTGCGCTCATGCTTCCTGCTCCCACTCTGCCTCACCGACCTTGCCCTCCCGTGTTGCCCTCGCCCCTTGCCTGAGCATTTGTAAACTTGCAGCTTCGGCATTTCAACAAAAAGAAAGAAAAGAAAGTCGCCCTTTCGTTTTTTTTCCCCTCCGCACCACCGCGTGTGTTCCGAAGAGCAAGGCATTCATTCGCTGTGTTGTCTGCTTGCGTACCTCTCCGGTTGTCGATACGGATTTCAGAACATGAGTTCGCTGTACTGAGGCGTTGTTAACATAACGCAGAACTAAATTAGCGCTTGCTCATCTGAAAAGTTTGTTAATGTGAGGTTTGCTCTACCGAGATTTCACTTACATCGAATTATTTTTTCATCTCGCTGACTTCGTTATAACGAGGGTTTACTGTACCTATACTGAAGCATTACAAGGGTGAAAATTCATCTTTAACACTGGCGAGTTAGTGCAAACTATTGAGGAACATGCGTTACTGAATATGAGAGACAAAATGACATTAATCCAAATTAAGCGACAAATGAGAGCCACACAAGTGTTATTTTTTTGCAATAAACAGAGATTTCACAAGGAAATAAATTATGTGTGCATTTTTGATAGGGTTGCGACCACTGCTATGAAAGCACATAAGCAAATTATAATGCTGTTATGCCTGCAATTTGTGATGACAAACTAAAAGTTAAATGTGGGAGAAAAGATACAGCTGCGCAAAAGAGCTCGGGTGGTAAGATGGAGTTGGGCAGGTGGAGGAAGAGATGAGCAGCATGGGGTCGTTTGAAGAGGAAGAGGCTTTTAGGTATTACAACAGTACTTTAGACTAAAAATGATAATATCTAATGAGCACTATAAAAGGCATTCGTTACGTTTGTTAAGAAAGAGCACCGCTTCTCACTTCCTAAGCTAGAGTGGAGTGCCAAGTGATATATACAGTGGCATAAGTTACCACACCTTGCAAACATTTAGGATCATAAGCTATTTGTCAACCTAGGTTAAACATTTAGTATTGGCGCCCCATAGAAACATAGACACAGAAACTGGGCCTCACGCTGTTGCAAGCGATTACAGAAGAGATACCATCAACATAAAGTTAAATGTGCAATTTTAGAGAAACTGTAAGCTAAATTACTGCAAACAGTGCGGAACAGGAAATGCCGCTATTCTGAAGTGCGTGCGTCATCTTTTAACCTGCGTCCCTGTTTCTGTGCTCTTCACAGTGGTATATCACTACACCAACAAGCCTAGCTAACCACAATTTTGAAGCTCATAATTTCATTGATTAATTGATTAATCATAATTAATCATAATTTCGTTGATTAATTTTGATCCCTTGGAGTCTCGTAACGAGCACCCGACGTACAGCGCATGAGTGTTCATGCATTTTATCAAAGTTGGGATGTGGCTCTTGCGGCTTACATTGGATACACGGCTTAGAGCTCAAGCGCAGCACCCCAACCAGAGAGTTGCCATGGAAGGTAATGAAGAGAAAACCAAATCAATAACTTGTACCTTTACTCTGAACAACGATTAAAAAGACAGGCTTGTAAAGGCTCGTTCTTTCTGAAAAGCGCACCTGAATGTTTTCTCGTAGGGTCTGATTGTCTCTAGTCAGGGTCTCCGCCTCAGCACCTCGGGCGGCCAAACCACCTAGCTGTTCCTCGGCTGTCCTCTTCTCCTCGCGAGCCTGCCTCAGCTGCTCCCCCAGATCCTGTAAAAGCAAATCAGGCCCATGAGAACAACAACAACAACAACAACAACAACAACAACAACAACAACAACAACAAAAAACACCTGCTAAGTTACTGAAACACTGTAATGGGGCATCGACGAACACAAAAAGACAGAGTTATATATGCATTCACCTAAACAGCAGTTCTCAGCCATGCATATTTCAGGGACCCCTTGAGGCTCAGTAAACGTGACGAGGCACTCCTTGCAGTGAGAGAAAGGGGAGCCCATAAACAAACTCACCATTCAGCATGAAATTAATTTTCTTTTTGTTTCTCCCTAGCAGAGTATGGTCAAAATAAAGTGCCATGCACTTTCGATTTCAACAGCTTGCAAAATCAAGTTGTGCACTTTGCAGGCAAATTCAGGCACCCTCTCTTGCGCAACCTCAGAGTCAGATACAAGGTATCTGGAATCTTTTAGATTCGAAGCATCTTATAGCGGCGGCATGTCCCACATTGTTGTCGGCATCTGCACTCACACTGCGCATGCGCAACTCTCCTCCTTCCCCCTAACAGTTGCTTGTTACTCTACTACCACCTGTTTACGCTCGCTTGTATGCTTGCTTTCCCATCCCCTCAAGACATTTTTTCCCACGGCATTTACACCGCCATTGTGCATGTGCGCCCCTTCCCCTCTCTCTTCTACGCTTCCTCTCTCTCGCATCGCAACGCCGACACAGGCAGCGTCTTCTAGCAAGTTTTCTTGATCGAAAAACCTACTGCTCGCGTTCACAACCGTTCACTGACCACCCTGCATATATAGGCACTGAATCTTCACCTCCAAGATAGTGCCAGTAGAAGATTTCTCATGTGCGTTGTGGAACAATAAAAATTCGCAGCGTGCGCACTAAAAGCAAACTACGGGTCCCTATGTTCAACGGAAGTCTTCCGTATCTCAATGCTTATCAACAGCAATTGGCATGTTCTAGTAGAAAACACTGGTGCATCACTACGTGCTTTGCACTTTCCCAGGTTTCTCCTCTGCGCAATGCCGCGATGAGCACCATCGTCACTGTTGCCACCAGTATAAGCTTCACATCCACACATGGTTTCCTTTAGCGGGAGATGTAATTTTTTAGAGTTGCTTAGTCGATTATTTCTCAATTATTGCTGTTAATTATTTTATTTTAGACTTTATTCATTCATTTTAACCCAGTTTTGAGTATCGGCTATTCAGATGCATTGGCCTTGTTATGGCCTGCATTGAGCGTTTTAATGCGAGCGTGATCATGCCTCATGAATGGATGGACAAACAAGCCGGGCTTCTGAAGTGCTCCACACTCAAAAGATGCATCGATAAAAAGCAAATCCAGAGCAGTAAAATGACAAGAAATGTTAGAAGGAGGAAGAGCAGCTCACCTGACGTACTTTCTCGGCACCTTCCGCGGCCACCTTCGCGGAGACAAGCTGCTTCTCAATGTCTGCTTTCTGCAAGCATCGTCAGTAGCAATTTGAATGCACTCACTGGGAAATTTTAAACTGGCAGCACCAAATGCAGAGGCTTATTTGAGCAATGCATTCTATAAATTAATAAAAATAAGGGAATTGGCTGAGAGGCTTGGTTTTGCAGGATGCAACTGTTCAAAGGCATCAACATCGCAAAGAAAAGGATGCATTCTGTATTATTTTTTATCAAAGTCCAGTAATAATGAAATAAAGCAATACTAAATAGGACAAGCATGCAATACGATGTCAACAGTATATGAATAATCAACCTGTGCAATATCAATTGGTATGGGTGCACTATCAGCCATGCTATGACAGAGGCTGTTCCCTTGTTCCCTTTCTTGGTTATTTCTATATTAGTAGCCCCAGAAAGGCAGGTCTTGAGCACCACTGATATCAATGAAGGCAAATGAAGAACATTGTCGTGGTCCAACGGGATTGCATAGTTTTTGAACCTTACAACGTGGCCATTGCCCCAGAAAGCCTCGCAGGCTACCTACAGGAACAGAAGCTTACATCTGGTAAGACATGTTGTTGGGCTAGTTCGTTCACCAATTCTGAAGACATGTTTAACCCTTCGAGGGATAATGGGACGCATGTGTCCCACTTCATCTCCTTCAGTAAAAGCTTTCTCTGCTGCTTCATGTTGCCATCAGCTCAATGCTTTTCCCTTACAGTGTATCAGGAGCATTTAGAAAATTCAAAAAATATATTTGGTACATTTGTGATGCATGATATTATTGATACGTTAAATTTAAATTTGCTTTATGCTGATGAACTTTTCTTTAAAAGTGGTGTCACACTGTGTGCAAAATAGCTAAAGTTATAGATTCACGGTATTTTTCTCCTTTTCTCGATCCTGAAAGAAGTAATTTTCGCATGCAACTAGGGATATTATTTTGAAACTGGAGCAATATATCAGCCAAAAATCATGTTGGAAGTGCACTTGACAAAAAATGAAGGAACTCCTTACTTAGCCTAACTTCAGAAGACACACACACAGCTGTTTTCTTAAAATTAGAAGTGAACTATTATGTTACAAAACAGCACCTGGATATAAAAAAGGCCCTCAAGTTTTTTACCATTTTTTACCACTATGAGAGCAGTGGCAATTAGGCGAAAAGCTGCAGCTGAAATGCTCTTTTTGAAATTGAGGGCCAAAGGAAAAGAATGACAAAATAATTTATGCTTTCAACAGCCAGGAAGTGAAACAGAAGACAAATGCACAAAGATCTATGAGAAAAGCTGATATCTCGGGCTTGAATAGAGTTCCTGAATTTGACGACAGTTGTTAATGCACTAACAGGATTCGATGCATTCAGGGACATCACGTCAATGTGGCTTGCCATGACTCATGGCCACAATATTACATATGGGCAGAAATTCAGGCATAACTGAGGTGTTCATCTTTATCTACGCCAACCAGAGCTACAGACAGAAGCTCAAACAGCTGATGTACGCAAAAACCTCAGACAGAGCAATTATGCTGAACACAACAGGTAGAGGCGCAGATTGTGTACCACATATAGAAATGAGGTACACCGCAAAAAAAAAAAAAAAAATGCATAGTTTTTGAAGTGCTCCTGTGTACCGTTTGCAACGGGCCTTTTTGTGCTAAACTTTGGCAAAAGGACTACAGCTCTGTGCCCTCATAAGACAATGCGACAGGTGTTTTCCCACTTTTTAAAGGACGCTTCATGGGTCGATGGGACATACTTTTTTTTCTCTTAACCTAATGGTCATATTTTGGTAAAACTTGCTCCATACTATTCCTAAGCATGCTACTTAGGTATTCCACAGGCATAATTTCTGTTATCACGTGAAAAATATTGATGAACCCACAACGGGTTAAACTGCCTGATGAAGAACCCTACAAGCAAAGACACAGTTGAAAGTCTGCGCTTCGTGTTTGTGCATGTTCTGTTTCTAATGAGTTGCCTCGTTTGCACTGTTGAAAGAAAGCTTACATCTACCAATGCACTTTTTCTTGGCTTTTCCACACGTAAAGTGCTGTGCCTACAATAAAAACATCATACAAGAGCCAAAAAGCAGTGACAAATGCTCACGGACCGCCCTGAGCAGGACAATGTGCTCCTCCCGAAGCTGGTTGTAGACCTCCTTCATCTTGTGGAACTTCTCCTCGTTGCTCTTGGCCCTCTCTGTGCGCAGAGAAAGAAAGGGGTATACAGCTAGCACGTGTCGACCTTCATCAACAGACAAATGTGGCACACAAGAGCCGTCATGCTCATGAAAGTGAAGGGAGAAGCAAACACTGTCTTGCAGCGCTTGAAAGCCACAACTTGGTGTGCACCTTACGGAGAGCTGTGACATGACAGCTTCACCCTCTTTTCAGTAAAGCGCTCTAAGCCCAGGTCCAGCACTATTCACTTTCTAACACAACACACCCTGTCAGTCAAAAAGCATGCATTTTTCATTCATGTAACCGAAGTATTACTACATTAGAATCTCACAATTTACATTTTAAGGGGCTAGAAAATTGCCGGGGTGCAATGGAGCTTCAACAAAAGAGAGCAACTTCGAGTACAGCACCCAATGACCTTAGCCTCATTTGAGGATGGGTACCACATGGACGGGTCTCCATGTGTACCAGCAATAAAGAAGGGAAAGGCAGCTTCTAGCAATTGTTCCTTCTGTGTTTGCCCCTCCTGTTTCTTGACATTTGTGCTCAGTAAGTGCACCCTTCCTAGTTCCTTAGTAAAGTACCCTTTCTACAAAAAAGCTGCTTTTTTAGCATATGTGTAGGTATCTATATAAGTAGGATAGTGGGACTAGTGAATATTAGGCTCGAACTGAATTCAAAGAAAATAGTGATTTTGGTTGAATAATTTCGAATCAAACTCAAATAGTATGTATATTATAAAGAAAATTGGCATATTTGTCATGACATAACTGACCTGCACAATGTTTTTTTTTAATTAAAACAAGACCCATGCAAATGTCACTTTTTGTTTTTGCTTCAAAGGAAGTGGGAACAACTAACAGTAGCAGGGTTTAACTTTCAGTAGAATGCAAGTGATAACCTGTAAAATAGGTAAAATTTATAATTTTCTATACTTAGAGCATATAAGTCCGTATAACAAGCTTTTAAACCTAAAAAATGAATCGATGTGAGGCTAATATATTCATTTAACGTTAAAGTAAGGCTTCGCAATAGTGGGAATTTCTCCTTATAAAGTGTTTCACAGATTAACACCACTTCTATGCAGTGAAACCACCTTTACAGGGAATTACATGCGGACTAATTATTAGTTTGCATGTAACCGTTTGCATTATTAGTTCGTTTCGAATACTTCGAAATTTTCGCACAAGCCTAAACACTGTTGCAGTGAGTTGTGATAAAATAGTTTTATTGACAAGAGGTTAGCGATGGTTCTTCGCAGTAGTGCACTGCGATCTTGCCAAGACTCTTTGTCTTCGTCTCCTTCTCTTCTCTGCCTTTCACATGTCCGTTACAATATAGCTTGTAAAGACTTGCTGCTGGGCTACTTAATAACTCGTAACTTATTGAACCGAAGAAACTTGGCACAAGTTGGCCCTTCCTCATTCACACACAGATTCACACATGCATACATGCAGGTTTGTCGGGTGTGGTCTATGCGTACATGCGTGTCTGTGCGAGCAAGGAGTGCAGAGTCTCACAGAGTTTTCTTCAGTTTGGTGAAGATTGACATAAGATGTTTTACTTTAAAGAAGAAAAATAAAACAAGACTGGTCACCGGCAATGTCAATGAAATGTATTCTTCATCAAAATTTTGCTGGCTCCTTTCTGAGATACCCTCATGCAAACCAAGCATGCTGGTCTGAGCTGCCAATGTGAAACAGCCGTGTGCATGCACATGCATGTGCTGGCAGACGAGAACACTGGACAGTTTACAGGCTCTTACTCTCGGCCTCCTCGGCTTTCCTGGATGCATCGCTACCCGTCGAGGCCGTCGTCTGCAATGCCTCCGTCTCCTGAGAGCGAAAAGAGGCACACATCTCTTTGCCACCACTGCTTCAGGCATGGCCTTCACAGCTGAATTATTATCACACAATAAAGCAGCCACATATGCATCAGCAGGTTAGAGTGTTGGATTAAAAATGACACTAAGATCAGCAAAGCAACATAAAAATATTCACAGTAATTAGAGATGAAGAGCGTGACAGTCTGCATGAAGTACCGTAGGAGTAAGATTTTACCTTAAGCGCTTTTTTTTTCTGTGAATTTAGCCAAACAGAATGTTGGAACAGGTGTTTTTCAACAGAATGACACAAGACATTTTCTTCTCTCGAGACTTTATTTCTCTTTCTTATTACTGGCATGTAATTGAACTATTGCACAATCGCTGCTACAGCAAATTGCACCATCTTCTAAGGTTTGAACTTCCATAAATGACATTTAAGAACACATGTTGACCTTTTAAACTATACACTAATCTCAACATCTGTAGCACTCTCATGCTTTTCTTTCTTTCTGAAATAGATGCTGAGGATACTCCATGTTCAAATGTGAAACGATTTATGCGTATTGTATGAGACGCTCGCCTGTATTTTTATTAAAAGTGATGAAGAAAAAAGTGCAGCCATGTCCACTTTGCGAACACTGTCGAGACAGCAAATGATGCCCCTTTTGTGAGTCTCCCCCTCACCAAAATTTGGTCACGTCTCACTGGTTCACCCTTTCGACTGAACCTCAACACTCTCCCTCTCCTGCCACCTCTTAATTCCCCTTTTCCACCGAGCCTCACCCTTGCTTATCTTGGCATGGCACTGCCCTCCGTCTTCTACCGAGTACCACTCTCGCAAAGCTGCGATCAGCGCTACGCCAATGGAGTGGAAAGTGTCCACAAGGAACAGCTTCGTTGTTAAAATACCAATAAAACACAATAATGAATAATGCTATAGAGTGTTTATAAAAATAGTACTGCTGTTTCAACCATTAAAAAAAATGGAGACAAAAAAAGAAATAGAAGCTAAATCACAAACCCAGGCACTGGGCATGCCCTTTCTAATGTGCACCTTTCTAATGTGCAAGACTGTACAATGCAGCTAAGACACCATTAAAACCCTCATTCCAAACAAGCTCAACGCACCGTGCATGCTAAACAAAACTTGAACATCACGCACTCATTCGGGGACACCCCAACAACAAACGCGATGTGACGTACACGACTCAAACCAACAGTTAAGCAGGATTTTTTGTGCAATAGGGAACCATTCTGCTAGTTTCAGCCCAGCCCCATTTATCACTGTACCCGTTCTTCTGTTATACACAAAACATTTTCCAAGGCACGAGAAATTTTGCCGAGTTTAGGCATTATGCTGACTGGTTAGCATGCCTAGCTTTCATACCCACAGCTCAGCTTTAGCTATAGCTGCTCATATGTCAATTATCTTGACTGTGCAGCTTCATGTGCTTTTAATAAAATGTCATGTTTCATAGTACAGTACTCAAAGCTTGAAATGAAGCATTATTTTTTTTTACAGTATTACATAGCTACTATGAGGGATTTCTTATGATAACCGAGTCATGTTGCCGCAAATCTAGTCGGTAAAGATGTTGGCTCTCGTGTAAGTGTCTGAGTAAAAATTATGCCGATATAACACAGGTTGTAAACAATGAGAACAAAAGTTTGTACATCACTAGGCCCTAAATTCTCGTTTTTCAACCCGTGAGTACCGTACACGAACAAGAACAGGAAAGTTATCAAGAACCAACCAACAAACAAGTGCAACCAGCCTACTTTTTAGATACATAGGGAAACTATATAGGGCTAGCAGAGAAAGAAGTGCCTCATGTCCATGAAGTACAGAAAATAGTGAGCTGTTACTCACTATTTTTAGACACAGCACAAAGGTTTCAGAAAGAAAGAAAGCGCGGAGAGTAGAGTCAAAGGCTTGCACCTTGTTTAGGTGCCGGATGGTCCGCTCATGCTCGGCGACCTGTGCCTCGAGAGCGACCACGTGCCGCTTGAGGTCGTCGATGTATCGCTGGTCTTCCAGTTGGACTCGCTGCAGCTCCATCCTCAGCTCAGAGTTCTCGCGCAGCAGCCGCGCTATCAGCCGATCCCTGCATGGCACGTCACAGAGGGGATGGCACGCACATGCAAGCTCTGAGCTTAGATAAGTGACATGCAGAATGCCAAGAAACTGAAAACGGAAACATGAAAACACAAAAAAGAAGAGATTCGATGCATGTAACTTAAAAATAAGAGCTTGCGCAACCATTTATCCAGTCACTTAAGGTGCTGTAAGCCTCAAGCTTGGCATAAAGGTCAAAACTTGGGCCGGCATTACTTACACTGCCATATAACTGTTTAAACTTAATGGGGACCAATAGATAATTAAACCAAGGCAGCTATAGGGGACACTAATTGTACTGCTTTAACTGTACTGTGGTAATTGTTGAAAAAACAGGTCACTGACCAATGTCAAATAAAACAATGACGTTTCGGGACCCGTACGGGTCCCTTGTTCACAATGGAATGACGGCTGAGCAACAGGTTTCTTATGTAACGTTGAGCACATGACGCAAAGTCCGGGAGTACACGTGGTTTAGTGTGCCAGATGATCTATTGATTGTATTACTTGTCGTCTGAATGATTAGTGATTCGAGGTTCAGTCTGGTTGTAAAATTCTTCTCCGTGGCCATGATGCGTGCGTTGTCCCAGCTTATCTCGTGGCCCGTCTTTTCGGCATGCTCTGCGAGTGCATTTGTCACTGTGTGGCCCTTGGCGACGTCATTCTTGTGTTGCATCAGACGTTTGCAGTAATTTCCACTCGTGCCAATGTACACCGATTCGCAATCGGCGCATGGTATCTTGTAGACCACACCAGGAAAGTGTTGCCGAGGGAGAGGATCCTTCACATTTAGCAACTCAGCCTTAAGCTTGCTTGCTGGAACATGCGCGATCTGTACACCACGTTTGCTGAATAGACGGGCTAGGGCTTCGCTTATATTTCGAATATAAGGAATCGATGCACGCTTTTTTGTAGACGATGTGTTATGCATGGCCTGACTAGTTGACTGCAGTTTATGCATGACGGATTTAGTTGTTTTCCTAATAAAATTCTTGGGGTATCCATTCTTGATCAGGTCATCTTCAATGGTCCGGAGCTCCTCCTGCAGGCTTTCTTTATCGGAACAAATGCGAATCGCTCGTTGAACTAAAGACCGAATCACTGAGCGTTTGTGGGCTACCGGGTGGACTGACTCATAGTCGAGGTATCTACCGGAGTGCGTTGGCTTCCGGTACACAGCGAAGGCGAGGCCTGTGGGAGTACGTTTTACAACTGCATCCAAGAAAGGGAGGCAACCGTCTTTCTCTTCTTCCACAGTAAACTTGATGGAAGTCTCGACGCCATTTAGGCAATCAAGGAAAGCTTGGACGTCTTTCTTCTTTATCACGCAGAAGCAGTCGTCGACGTATCTCAGAAAAACCTTGGGTCTCGGCTGAAATGTTCCCAATGCTTTCTGCTCAATTGCTTCCATTGTGATATTCGCAGTTGTGACCGAAATCGAAGCTCCCATTGCGGTACCGAAAACTTGCCTGTAGAATTCACCCTTGTACGAGAAGTAAGTGTTGGATAGGCAAAACCGTAACAAGGTGCACAGCTCGGTGACGTCGAACGGTGTGCGGTCGGCCAATGTCGCGTCCTAGTGAAGCAATTGTCTGGAAGTGTCTACAGCAAGGTCGACAGGAACACTTGTGAAGAGGGAGCAGACATCAAATGAAACCAGTACTTCGTCGACATCCACAGTGATACTCTTCATTTTGCTTATGAAGTCATTGGTGTTCCGGAGGTTAGTTTCAGTCTTGCCTGCAAGGAGAGCCAGGATGCCGTGAAGATACTTTGAGAGGCTGTATAGGGGTGACCTAGTGAAATCTACTATGGGCCTTAGAGGCGTTCCGCTTTTGTGAATCTTCGGTAAACCGTATATCGCTGGAGCAGAACCATTGGTGCACAGCAGCTGGAAGTATAATCTTTTTGCTGATGCAGGAAGCGTCTGAAAAATACTAGAGAGCGTCTTTTGCAGGCCCGTTTGCTGCCAGCAAGTCCTCTCGGAAGACGAGGAAAAAGCCATTAAGGCATTGCACAAAAACAAGAAGATTGCCGTACTTCCTGCGGACAAAGGCAACGTGACGGTTGTGCTTGACCGGTCGACGTAGTAGTCGAAGATGACGGAGATAGTGGGGGACTGTACAACGTACGCCAAGAATAACAAGGATCCTACCTCGAAAGTCCAAACCTCGAAGGATCCTACCTCGAAAGTCCCAAGAAAAAAGGTCTTTATGTGGCAGTGGCGGAAAAGGGAGAAGCGTGGCACAGGCACGTCACAGATCGGCATTTGAGAGAGCGCAAACATTCCATTGCAGCCTTTTCTTTCCTTTTCCTTTCCTTTGCGCGCAGCGTTGAGGTGTCAGAGGTGCTGCTGCTGCAGGATTGGGCAGGGTGCTGAGAGCATTTTCGGAGCGCGGTATGTTCGAATTGATCGTTGCAAATGCTTGTGCGTTTGAATTACCGGGCGTTTTCGCCTATTGAAATACACATAGCTTTGACGGGACCTCGTCGTGAGTTCGAATTAACAGGAAGTTCGAATTAAGCATGTTCGAATCAATGAGATTCAACTGCAGTAAGTTGTATACGCACTCGCCCTTAAAAACCTGCTTTTTGCAACCAAGTCATCTTTTCTTCTGTGCATTCCTACTCAAGTGCTAACAAGCGTTTCGGTGACAATTATTAGGCCTTTTCATGTCTCGAAGCTTGCTTACAAGCGAATTAAACAATCTTTATGATGAACTGACACTGTTTCACTTGTCGGCAGTACTGTCACATAGAGCCAATCATCCCTTGGTAGTTGTGAGCAGCGCGTCATCTACTGTGCTCACGCTGTCCCTCTGAACCGTACACGAGGGCGGCGACTGGCCTGTTGGTTCCATGCAGTGAAGAGAAGCATTTTACAAGCAATATGCTCTTCTCAGTGAAGCTTGATGGTCCATGACAATGCACGGCATACTTGGGATGTCCCCTAATAAAGCAAGCAGTGTATGCTTCATGCTTGCTGTCAGTGCATCTGCGCTTCTCGTTGACTGCAGTGCTTTGAACCAGTGAGCTACTTTTACTTACCGTATAATGTGGAATATAGGTCGAGACGGAATATAGGTCGACCCCCTTACCTTGATCAGCAAAAAAAAAAAAAAGCATAATTGTTCTCGGATTCACTTTATTGAGTCCTCTGAGCTGTCGGAGCTCTCCTCCTGCGACGACTGCTTATCACTAGCCACCTCCCATAGCATTGCATCCTCAGTGCCGTCGAGAGCGTTTCTGATGCAGCACTTCTTGACTGCGCGCACCAGCATCTCTTCAGGCAGAGACCTCCATGCCTCGGAGACCCAACCAGAAACTGTCGCGAGAGCTGGCCTGCAGAGCCAGCCTGTCGGGGTCCGCGGGTCGTCGTCAGCCATCCATTTGGTGTAAAAAGCATGCACACGGTCTTAGAAAGGTTTATTAAGAACTACGTCCAACGGTTGGAGTGTTGACGTCATCCCTCCCAAAATGACGACAAAATCAGTCTTTCCATCGCGAAGGCTCTACTTCACTAATGCCGTCAAGTGCCCGCCAAAGGCATCCAACACGAGCATGTTCCGGTACTGCAGAAGCGTTCTGGGCCGCCGGTTTCACACTGTGCGGATCCACTCGTGCATTAGAGCCTCATCCATATACCCCTTCTCGTTGACCCGGATGACGACATCCCGTGGGAAGGCTTCCTTCGGCATCATTTTCCGCTTGAATATGATGAAGAGGGCAACTTTCTGCCATCGGCCGTGCAGGAAAGCATAACGGTGAAGTGCCAATGCTCACTTCTGGTCGACAAAAGCTTCACGTCTTTTGCCCCGCGTTCACAAACAGTCGTGGATGATGGCATGTCGAACCACACCGGCGTTTCGTCGGCGTTGCCGATCTGGCCTGGCATGTAGCCATGCTGCCGCCGGAGGCTGTTCACGTAGAGCTGAAACTCTATCAATTTGTCCTTGTACATCTTCGACACCTTCTGGCATATCGACGTGCGTCGTCGAAGGGCAAATCTCTTGCGCCGCAAGAAGCGACGAACCCAATAAATGAATCCCTTGAAGTCTTTCTTTGACAGACCAGCTTCATGGGCGAGCTTGACGGCTTTTGATTGAATAAGCTCTGCATTCACTGGCAGGGATCTGGCACGGTACTCGCGGATGAAATCGGCCACTTTGTCCTCGAGGTCCAGGTGCAGAGCTCGGCGACCACGAAATGACGTCTTCCTCGTGTTACACACCAACAGTTTGGATTTTTGGTTGCGCCAGTACCTGACGCTTTTCTCGGACACTCTAAACTGCTGCTGTGCTGTCATGGCGCCATTCGCTTTTGCGAATTCAATAACTTTTGTTTTAACATAGCGGTGAACTGGCCCCGCGTCCTGGTATTCATGGCTGCTTGCAGAGTAAGGTCGCCACTCGCTATGAACACTGAATGAACAAGAAAAGAAAAATGGCATCGACAGAGAACGTCGGCCCAAAAAGGCGACGTCGATGCTGATGCCCAAAAAGCATACGACACTCCCTGTTGCCAGATGATCACTTAGTTTATGCCAAGGAACAGTATATAGGTCGAGGGGTGACTTTTTAGTGACATTTTTTGGAAAAAATTTCGAGCTATATTCTGCACTATACGGAATATGCAAAGTGACGGGCATGGTGCGGCCGCAGCAAACTTGCAGACGGCAGAAAAGAATGTGTGGAACGCGCTTATTGTTGTCATGATGTATAGTGGGTACTTTGCATCTGCTGTGTCGTGTCACGGTCTGCTGGAAGCCGCAAAAAACGGCTGTTTGGGAGGTATGAGCAGTACTGCCTGCTCCTTTTGAAGACGCAGAAAACAATAAACTCTTCAATTCTCTCAGACAACGAGCAGGGCTTTGCTTGTCTAGGCAGTTCGACAAGCAAAGTTTTACAGCCTCAATAGAATGCAGGCTAGACAGCCACACAAAGCATCGAAACTGTGCTCAATGCGCTGTGGCTTCCAAGTTACACTTTAACGATACGTCTGTCCCCTACTTACTTTTCAGCCTCATCGCTTGTGGAGTTGTTCAGCTCAGCCCTGTCTCCTGCAGCACCAAACATCTGCAAGGGCAAGACAATGCATGTGCGACAGAGAATACTCAGTCGAAATAATGTGCTGTGGCATTTCCTTTCAAATTTATCAGTATGCAAGGCGTATGTAGTGCTGGTACACAATAGCTGTTTGAACTTAATCTGAGTACTCATTCTTTTTATGTGACTGTTCATTCACTTTTTGAGCACATAAGGTTACAAAATTTCTGCTGCAGCTGTACTTGTGCACACATTATCTGACAGTTTGTTTCAGTACGATCCTGTTAAATCACTCCTTGAATGTGCTATACACAACACAATACGGATTGAGCACAGTTACCGCACTCACGAGATTGTAAGTCTACCCATTTTGTCTTAATCTGAAATCTGAAGTTGGGAGGTCAACGTAGAATTGAAAACTAGTTTCAGTTGTAAAATTTTTCTGAAAGTATCATCGCGTATTCCCATGAAGCTAACTTTTCTGCACAGCCTTTAGGCCCTCCTGTGAAGCCACCTTACCACATCAAAATTCCGATTTTTGTTTTTTTTGAGATGTTGTAAAAAAATCTTTTTTTTAAAAATGTGCTCGCACTCCTTTCTTTTTTTTTTTTAGCCAAGATGTTTTCAGGAGGGGGGGGGGGGGAGAGCCACTTACTACATTCGAGTAGACTAGCAGTCATGCAAATAAGGCACGAACTTTCAATTTCTACTGCACAGTAGATCAGTGCTTATCAAGAATGGCCGCTGATCTTGAGGTCACAGGTTTTATTGCTGCAGCAATGACAATCTTTAGAAAAGATGAAGTGCAAATGTGTTCATACGCATAGATTTATGTGTACATTAAAGGACCATAAGTAAACAAAATTATTAAATATGTAGACCCCAGTAAATATAACACTGGCACGTGAAACTCAGACAAATTTAAATCTAGTTCATTTTTGAAGTACAGTGCAGCTTGACCAATTCCCAATTAGTACAGTACAACCTAACAAGTTAATGAGTGCTACGTGCAACCTAACCAGATAATGATTACTAAAGTGAGATCTAAGTATTTATTGATTACTACAGTACGACCTAACAAACACAGTGAGACCTAACTAGTCAATAGTTACTACTAAATTGCAACCTAACTAGTTAATGACTACTAAAGTGCCACTTAACCATTTCCTGATTACTAAAGTGCAACAATTACTAAACCTAACCAGCTAACGATTACCAAAGTGCAACTCTCTAAGTTGATCAGCAAGTGCCTCCCACCTGCTGCAACTTGTCTGGTGCTGGTGGCACAGATGTGTCCACCAGGGTAGCATCCACCGTTTCGTTCTCGGGTGTCTCATTCTGAGGTGGCAGCACCACCACGGGGCTTACGTGAGAGCTCAGGTCTGACGCTATCAGGAAGTTTGGCGGCTTCTGCAACAACCGAGGGAAAGAGTAAACACTGAGTCAGTACAGCAAGATGGACAAGTGCAGTGTTTCTTTTGTGATTAGCGCAAGTGTACCACTGAGCATACTTTAAGTTGAGCAGTCACGACTACATTTGAGGACAAGCCAAATGATAGACAAGCTGAAAAAATATCTAGGCACTGATAACCTGGCATGCCTATGGTGATGCAGCAAATACAATACACCATTTGAAACAGACTTGTACACGTTGAAGAACAGGGTCAACTATTTACATGCATTTTTTTCAAAGATGCAGTCAACGACTGATTCGAATAACTACCCCAGAAAGCACGTAGTGGGCCTCACATCCAATGTTGTGATTATGCTGCGGCGATAACTCAGAAGTGAGTTATCTATGAAGCCCTGCTCTTTGTCACTAGCAGTGCTGGTTCAATTACTACTCGGAAAACTTCTTGTAGGGCATTTATATGAGGGAGTGATTTCAGAGCAACATGGTCGCCTACTTTAACAGGCCCAACCATGATGCCACATGTGGTATAACTGCAGGCATGCCAGGGTAGTTCAAGTGCTCAAAACAGCGTTGCCCATTATACTGTATCATTCCATTATAATGAATTTATTACTTGAAATCACAGTGACCATTACCAACCAAGAAAGACAATCAATAAATCAAAAGCTGAAAAAAGTTGTAGCTGGTTTCAGATTTAACTGCCCATTTTAACTACATACGAGTTCCCTATGACTGGCTACTTCCTGCATGTCTGATAAAATAAGGTATCGTACTTTGATGAGCGGAACGAAAGCTTTTCAATGCAAAAAATATATAAATAAAGTGAGATCACTAGTGAGCAACTACTAGCCAGTAACCACATGGTGCTCAGAAATGGCAAAAACCGTGGTGATGCAGCAAAATTTATACAAATTGGCCTCGACAATGTAACCCACAGAAGCCAGAGGTGGTATTGAAGAAGCTGCTGCATGGAACCGAGGTGAACCATTCCCCTCATACAACTAAACAAAACTCGCACAAAGACTCAAATAAACTCCTACGTCCCCCCCCCCCCCCTTCACAATTCGCACAATGCTGAACACATAGGTCACTTGAATGTGAACAAGTGACCTATGTGTTCTATGTGAACACATAGGAGAGGTAAGCATAACCTCTCCACAAGAGGTGTAAGGGCAATAAATCCATTCAGCATGAGACCATGCTAACTTGTGAAAAATACAATAAAATGAAAATGTGTAAGCAAAGAGTACGAAGCACACAGTATAAAGCGTACAGTGCCTTTCTTTCGATATTGAGTGCAAGATGCACTGACCTCTGGTAGGAGGGGAACCTGAATCAGGTGCTTGAAGTACTGCAGGTTCACAGAGTTCAGGTAGAACTGCTGCAACCTGAAACAAACATTAACGTCATCTAGAGCCTATACACAGGGCTACTCATGCCGTTCATAGCGACACAAGCGGCACTCAGACAGTGCACAGCATGCCACACCACCACTCATACACACCGTGCATCAAGGACAGTTCTTGTCCCACAAAGAAAGCATAACAATGCCGTATGTAGGTGCTGTTAGGCGAGCTTAGTAGAAATGGTTGGCTGTTCACACTGCCTAGAATTGTCACAGCAGTGGAAGCATCATGAAAACGCAAAATCATACAGTCCCTAATGTAACATAACCTAAGGAACAACAGTGCAATTCTCAAGTGCCAGACAAAATGCTTAACATTCAATAGGGGTGCTTAAATATTCTAAATTTCGAATATTTTTTCTGATAGTGGTTGCCATTAAATATTGTTTGCACTTAAATTTTTACAATTCAAACTTCCAAAACACAAATGCACTCGTATGAATGAAAGTGACCCCTTCAGATCTCAAATATGCTTCACCTCACACACTCTCACATTGTGGTAACGCTGTCACTCAGGCTCCACTACAGTTGAATTTTTTAGATACAATGTCCGCCTAAAATGACCCTCTGAGATTTTTTTTCAGTAAGCTTCACCTCGTTATACTCTCGTATGGCGGCAACCGCCTTTCAACCGCCTCCCCCTCTCGCTACGGTCGATCTATTCAAAGACCGTCGTTTCATAGAAGGTGGCCCCTTCGTATTTTTCAAATTCTACACCTCATAACACACAAGCATTTTGGCAAAGCTGCCTTTCAAGCTCCACAATGGTCACAAATAATACTTATCGACTCAAAAGAACGCTTGTTCCAACATGCAGACGATAGACGTGGCAGATTTCGATGTGGCAGAAGTGGGGGCTCAATGCTGTTTCAGACATGAAATTTGGGCAGGAAGTCCAAAAAATCAGACACCAAAATTTTTAGCATCCCAAATTTCAAATGTTCTTGTATGTTGACGTAGACGAGACAGATCTGGAACTTTTAACACCAAGGATGCACGACTCTATCTGCCACATCAGTTGGGCTTCCAGAGAAGCTGTAAAAGGAGGAGAAACTGAGGAAATATCACCTTTGCCTTTCACGTGTAAAGTGTTCGCGGCAACACCTTGGTTGGGTTAAACCATGCATGTACTAATAGAACTCAGCCTCTGCATCGTCTCATTCTTGATAAGAAAACTATAAAATCCCACCCAGCCAGCGCATAAACTTGAAGAAAAGAAACACTTTCATGTTGCTATATCTCTGAAGAATATGCTTAGGAATCCTCTCCAACTTTATTTTTTCCCCAATTTCGCTTCAAACTGTTAGAAAAAATTTCAGGAATATTCGAGAAATATTGGGAAAAAATATTCGATGCGACTCGTGCCCAAAATTTTACTGTTGGCGCAGCTCTAATTAAAGATCCACTGAGGACACCAGTACGAGACAGTTCATTCCAATATGTATCACACACATGCTCTTCATGTTCTATAATTCAGGTACTGTGTGACAAGGCTAAGGCAGAGCTCCTCATACAACAGCACATATCTACAGCAAACTCCAATAAGCACAGGGATTTTCCTGCACTTCACCCTCGTCAAAGTACCCGTGCAGTGGTAAAAAAAATCAAGCATGGTTAGCAGCAGACCACAACATGAGCATGTACATTCTGATAAATTGAAAACAGTGAAGGCAGACCAAAATTTTATAACCCAAGAACAGACATAGTGCATGCCCTTATTTGTATTTTTAGACTTAATTAAGAGACTTTCGCTACAAGCATTACAAATACTTAAACGACCTTCCTGATGCACAACACCACCAACTCCACTGCCTGCTCAGGGGTGCCACTGGTGTGCAGCTGCCCTTATTTACCAAAGCCAAGGCTCAAAGACACTGTATGATTCCCAATCAGTTGTTATCGAATGACTGTAACAAGCTGTCTTCATCAGATAGTATACACATGTAGTATTCCTATCAGTTACCATGTTGTATTAGTAGTCACTTCGGAATAAAATGTTCGTTCCACTGTTCTATGTGAAGCTGCAATGGCCACCGGACAGCAGAAGTTTGAAGAATCCACCAGAAATGGGTAGTAACCCTAAGACATCTTTCAAACAAATGATGATTATGATTTTCCATGAGACCTATAAATTATAGGGTTGCGCAATCTTCTGTAAGCCTCTCTGCTGCAGAAAAAAGGGACCTTCTTCCTCTTCTAACCACTACCGCCACAACCATCTTCCCTTACACAGTTGTGAGGCATTCGACCTGTCTGCTTTATTTCATAAAATTGACCACGTGTGTGACGATGCTGCCCTATCTTTGCCCTATCTGCTTTAGTTCCATGAATACTACTAACACCTTCTGCTTACTAAATTCGGTTAATGTTGCCAGCAATTCCAAACTTTTGTGTTTCTGAGGGAGTCATGTGTACCGTATAAACCGGAATATACCGTAATTACTCGAATCTAACGCGCACCTTTTTTCCGGTTAAGCGAGTTCATAAATCGCATGCGCGTTAGAATCGAGCACGAACAAAAAAATTACAGCCAATCTATTGCCATCGGCAAATCTAAAATGGCCGCCCCCTATGTGCGTCGCCATGGCGCGTCGTCCATTTCTGCCTATGTGTTTCTCATGTGCGGCACTTCGTACGTGTGCTGAGGAGTTCGTCATCTAGTAGTGCATTAGCATCGACGGCGTGGAATGGCCGACTCCAAAAACTCGAGTGCACCACGACGCCGCTTTTAAAAGAAAAGTCATCACGTGTGCAGAAACGGACGGAAATAGGGCCGCATCGCGGTCGTTCGGAGTTCCCGAAACGTGCGTGCGGGACCGGCGGAAACAAAAGCAGAAGATTTTCGACAGCAAAGCTTTACGCAAAGGCTTCAGTGGACCACAGCAGGGTCGGTTTCCGCAAACTGAAGAGCTGCTCGGCGAGTATGTGATTGAGCAGTGAGCGGCACAGCGACCCGTGACGACACAACTGCTCCAAGTGCAGGCTATGCAGTTAGCCTTGAAAAAAGGGCTAATGCGGAGCCAGTTTAAAGCGAGCAGGTGCTGGCTAACTAACTTTATGAAGAGGAAAGGCTTTTCCCTCCGAAGGGGAACATGCATATGCGAAAAGTTTTGCGGAGGAGTACGATGAAAAGCTTCACAGTTTTCAGAGGTTCGTCCTATACTTGCGGCGCAACAACGACTACCTGCTTGGGCAAATCGGGAATGCCGATCAGACGCCTCTTTACTTCGACATGCCTGGCACCACAACCGTCGAGAAGAAGGGGGCGAAGCAAGTTCGCGTGCTGACATCGGTCCACGGTAAAACTACAGTGACGGCAATGCTCTGTTACACGTCAGATGGGCACAAGCTTCGCCCGTACCTCATATTTAAGTGGACGACGCTCCCGAAAGGAGTCGTTTTTTCGAGTGGTGTGATCATGCGGGCCAGCGAGAAAAAATGGGTGCGCGTTGCAATCGATGTCTTACGTTGTTTTTTTTTTCGCGGTGGAAATCGGGTGCGCGTTACAATCGAGGGCGCGGTAGAATCGAGTAAATACGGTAAGTCGAGATATTTTCAATTAAATAATGAGCTAATGTCGCCCCTCGTCTTATATAGTGGCGTCTAGCCGACAGTGCGCCGCTGTCTGGCAAAATGTGGCTTCCATGAGCTTGAGAAGCCGGACGCGGCCATATCTGCATCCAAATCCAATAGCAGGTTGTTTTTTTTTCTCTCTCGTTTTTTTTTTTTGTGTTCGTGATTTGCCTCTGATATGTTTTAAGTTTTCGCTCCGCTTGACATTGCATTTCATTTTTAGTGATCTTTTTTTCGTTCACTGAATATGAGCAGCGGTACGTGAAGGCAGTACTCAACTGCATTTAAACTAGATGTTGTTTAGTTTGCAGAAGCGAACGGGAATATGGCTGCTCAGCGCTGCTTTGGTGTATATATATATAAAAAATGTGCGCTATTGGAGGGTGCAGAACGGGAAGCTGCAGATGTGCAATCCTCGGAAAATGCCATTTCGTGGGCGAAGTGCGGTTCATCCGCAGTTGGAGGATACACTAGAAAACTTTGTGCTGGAAGTTCGTGTGTGCTCGCTACCAGTGACCGTGGATACCATTAGCAAGAAAGCTGTGGAACTCGCTCGAGAAGCTGGGCTCACGAGAGAAGAGTTTCGTGCACCAAGATCGGGTGCATCGATTCATAAAACGCAAAAGATTTTCTCTCCGGCGGCGCACATCCATCTGTCAGAAGTTGCCAGAGGAATTCGAGGACAAGCTTATAAACTTGCAGGGCTTCATGAACCGGCTTCGGGAGCAGAAGGACTACATGATGGGGCAGATTGACAATGCCGTTGAGACCCCCATGTGGTTTGACATGCCTTAATCGACCATGATTATGCAGCGTGGTGCCAAGGATATGAAGTTGTTGTCCACTGGCAACGAGCACTCGCGCTTCACCGTCATGCTGGAATGCATAGCAGATGTTAGAAAGCTTCCGCCCTTTATCATTTTCAAACGTAAGACAATGCCGAAGGAAGTGTTCCCGCCCGGTGTTGTCATTTGTGTCAACAAAAAGGGATACATGGACGAGGCCATGATGCTCGAACGGATACGAGTAGTCTGGAAACCTCGGCCAGGTGCACTGCTGCGTTTTTGCAGAAGCCTGGTGTTAGATGTGTTTCATGATCACTTAACCGACGCTGTGAAGCACGCACTGGGCGACGGAAAAACGGACCTCGCCATGATACCAGGTTGTACGACGTCCACCTTCCAACCGCTCGACGTTGTGCTGGACAAGCCCTTTAAGGACCGAGTGCAGCTTTAGTACCAAAATTGGATGTCCGGTGACAACCCAAAGACACCGACGAACAAAAAGGGATACATGGACGAATGCGACTGTTTGTGGCTGGGTGCTTTCCGCCTGGCGTTCCTTGCCAGATTCCATAGTGGAAAATGCTTTCAATAAATATTCCATCCGCAACTCGCTATATGGCACGAAAGACAACGCACTGTGGGGGGCTGCCAACGACAAACTCTCGTCTTCAGAAGACAGTGGTGCTTCGTCTGAAGAATAGGAACAGTTGCAATGGTGGTTGAGGGGAGCTCCGACTATTGGGGTGCAGTGCGCCTAATTTGAAAATAAATGTCACTCGGCAGTTCTGGGTTGTTTTCCTTTTTTTTTTTTTAGGTAACCTGAACTTGGGGGGGAGGGTCGACCTATATTCCCACTCGACCTATAGCCCTGTTTATATGTGCTATCGTTCTTTTTCTTTTTTTCTTTGCGTCAAACAAATCTTACGGTCCTGGAAGTATTCGCTAAAAGCATTAAAAAATTTTGTGCACCATAACCATAGTATGATAATATGGTAGTGGTATATGGTAGCAGGAGACAACGAATTAGTTTGGACAATGGGGCTCTTAATGTGCGTTTAACTTCAATAAGCACAGAGGTTTTCTTGCACTTCGCTATCGTCAAAGTACCCGTGCAGTGGCCAAATATCAAGCATGGTTTGCAGCAGAATGTTGTAGTCATTGAGCCATTCCACAGAGTCATTATTATGTGCTCCTGTGAATTCTTGTAATCAAGTACACTCAAACCTTGATATAACAAATTCGTATATAACGAAATATCGGTTCATAATCATCATCAGCCTGACTACGTTCACTGCAGGACAAAGGCTTCTCCCTTGTTCCGGCAGTCAACTCGGTCCTGTGCTTGCAGCTGCCAATTTATACCTGCAAACTTCTTAACCTCATCTGCCCACCTAACCTTCTGTCTCCCCCTAACCTGCTTGCCTTCTCTGGGAATCCAGTTAGTTACCCTTAATGACCAGCGGTTATTCTGTGTACGCGCTACACGACCGGCTCATGTCCATTTGCTCTTCTTGATTTTAACCGTGATATCCTTAACCCCCGTTTGTTCTCCAATCCACTCACTGAAATATTGGTTATAACGAAGCAAATGAAAAATAGTCTTGCAATAGATTTAGTGGTAAGAATAAATCTTTATAGCAAATTTTTGGATATAACGAACTTATTTTCATGTAAGATGCAAGTTTGTTATAATGAGGTTCGAGTGTAGTCAGCTCGAGGCTCTGCAGAACAAGAACTGGCAAGTAGCGTCACCAGTTGAGAAGGCGTTCAGCACAAAAATAAAAAGTCGGCATATCGTCAAAGTGTTACCGCATTGCCTGATGTTATTCAAACCACGCAACAGGTGAGAGTTCTAGCAAGCTTATGTAAATTGGGCCTTTTGCAAGAGGCCCATGACTTCCAGGTTTTCGAGCAGACTAGTTTCGGTGAAAATCAATAACCATAAGTACTTTTTTACAATCTACTGCTGTGGGCAGCAGGTAAGTGTGGACAAAAACACATTCAGTGTAAGAACAGTAAACTTATGCAGTGTAACTTAACAGTGGTGACATTTGGGGCACTTAATTCCACCCTGCAATCGTCCAGAGGAAGAATTACAATATGAATAAGGCAGTTTTTCCAAATGCAGGCTTCATACAATGATAATAAAAAGACAGGAAAAATATACTCAACAGTTTGAACTGCTTGAGAAAGCGCTCTCTGTGGCCGAGGAGGGTATCACCTGGCAGGGCTGCAGGCACCGCCATCACCGCAGAAGAACAAGGTGTAAGAGAAAAGAAAAAACAATGAATGAGTCCCAACGCACTTTCATCTAGTGCACTCAACTAGTGCATTAGAGGATATTCACTATCCATGCAGCCACAAAGCCACCAGTTTCAATGCGACAGTGTTAAGGAGCTTGTTTCGCAGAAACCCTGGTGTAAAAAATCCAGGGTTGGTGTCGGCAATGTCCGTGTCTTTGGTTTTGAGTGAAAAAGCAGCATTGGCCATGAACAAGAATTCAAAGTGGGTGCGAAGATAGGAGCGGGAGGCCATTTGCACTTTGGCTTTCATTATAGTTATCTTGATTTTAATTGTCAACGACAACCTTCCTTCTTGTGCCTGCCCTAAGTAGATGTTTCCACAGGATATCATGCTACAATAAATCAATGAATGTATCAATGAATGAATCAATCAAAAGCTTTTTTTCAAAGTCAACACATACAGAATAACAACTGCTGTTGTTTTTATATACTGATACCATAATGTGATTATGACGCTTGCCAAGGTAGATGCGATGTGGGCTTGTTGGTAGCTCATCTTAAATAAGTTTCCATGTAGCGGACGTAAACAACAGGAAGAAATGAAGGCACATGTAGACAGACAGAGCGCTAACTTCCAACATAGTTTATTCCAAGAAACCAGAGAACATAGACAGGAAGAAATGAAGGCCCATGTAGACAGACAGAGCGTCAACTTCCAACATAGTTTATTCCAAGAAACCGGAGAACATGTTCTCTGGTTTCTTGGAATAAACTTAGTTGGAAGTTAGCGCTCTGTCTGTCTACACATGCCTTCATTTCTTTCTGTTGTTTACGTGCGCTAAAAAAAAACTTACTGAAGATTGACATGGTAGACGACTCTGGAAATTTTGACTGTTTGGTGTTCATCAACCCCTCGCACCAAAACCTAAACACAAGGGCCTTGAGCGTTTCGGCTCCATTGAAGCGCGACTGTCGTGGCCGGGATTCAGTCCCGTGGCCTTTGGATCAGCGTTTGAGCACTATAACCACTAGGCCACCATGGCGGGTGAAAGCCGACACATACCAGCGTGCAGCTTGAAGAGGACCTTGACCGTGTAGTCGTACAGCTGGCTCGAGTCCTGGATGCAGGGGATCAGAGGTGCCAGGCGGCACTGGCCCGAGTTGGTCATGGAGTTGGAGCGTGCCATGTCCAGGGAGCCAAACACTGCATGGGCGGAGGGACGCAAAGTAAAAGAAACTGTGGCTCGGAATTGTCAAGAAACATTCACAAGGCTCGAAGAATCACAGCTGGCCAACTTCCAACCTTCATCTCCAAAGACAATTAGACAGCTGTCGCTCTTAACATAACAAACAGTAACTGCGTCATGTCGAAGCATATGCACAGACTGGCAAATGACCATCAACAAAAATAAAACTGTCGCAATGTTAATTAGTCGCAAAAAGCAACCTATAACATTTCCTTACTGTTTTGATAATGAACCTCTGGAAGTAGTAACTAACTATAAGTATCTGGGAGTCATCATCTGTCACAATCTTAAATGCACAATCTTAAATGTCACAATCTGTCACAATTTTAAATGTCACAATCTTAAATGACCGCATACATGGAAAGGCGATGAAAAAACTCGGATACTTAAGGAGGCGTTTGAGTAAGTCCTCTTCAGAAGTTAAGATATTAGCCTATAAAACATTTATTCGGCCACTCCTGAAATACTGTGCCACTGTTTGGGATCCACACACAAAAAGAAAAGTTTCAATAATGGAAAAAATACAGAGGAAATCAGCTAGGTTAATCTTTAATAAATACAGCTAGGAGGCATCAGTCACATCTCTTCTAGAAATGGCTGAGACCGAAAAATTTGCAAATCGGCGATACCGCAAACGAATGAAACTATTTTACCTTCCTTATCAAGGACAGTTAGGTATAAAAAAGGATACATATCTAAAAGACTCCCACCTGCAGCCTACTCTGTCCCTTCATAATAAAAAAAGTAACTGAGTTCTCTAGTCACACCAACATGTTCCAGTATTCCTTTTGCCGAGAACTGCAACCAATTGGAATTTTCTCTCCTCAGCTGTGGTGGAATGCCCATCGCTATCTGCTATCAATCTATCTACAGGCCCATTAGTCCATAAGACATAGCTCTGACATAGTTTTACATGAACCCCGACGGTCTTTTTCTTCTATATGTTTACGTATTCATGTTTTCACTAGTTATTTAAATATCTTGCTGCTTTGTACGAATTCGTTGTATTCTTCTTCTTTTGTAGTTATTATAGCTTCTATGTCTCGTATGTGTTTACTGTAACCATTTTTTTTTTGTATTCACTTGTACCCACTCCTGCCAAGAACTTGATTTGATTGATTTTGTGGGGTTTAACGTCCCAAAACGACCATATGATTATGAGAGACGCCGTAGTGGAGGGCTCCGGAAGTTTTGACCACCTGGGGTTCTTTAACGTGCACCCCCCTGCCTAGAACTGAAGATCAGATCGGCAGTACTGTAATAAATAAATAAATAAGTATCCTTTGCAAATGCCTCCAGCAGACTCATCAGGACAGCCAGTTTAGGGACAGGAGAAAAAAGTTCTCACATACACCAAGCATGCACATTTACACCAACTGTGCAGTCACCTGGTGAAGTCACCACCTGACATAAGGTTAGTTACAGAGTCTGTGTGCCAAAGTTGCACTTATGTCAGGTTCAAGACGCCTCTCTGGATGCAGCAATACAATGACCCATATGGTACCTTAAAGCCCAATTCCAAAAACTGCTATTAAAAACATGTGAAATATGTTGTTTTATCATGGCATGCATTTCAAATTTTAAGTCAGCAGAAGCAAATGAAAGTACTACAAGATTATCACTTTGTGGTTCATAGCTCCTGCATACATTTAATTAAAAAAAAATGCAACTCTATATCTGACATGGCCAGGTGCGTAGCAGTATTATTAAAATGACACATGCTCGTTTTGTATTCAATCGTTACATGTTGTGTCATTGGTTTCATTATTGAGTGCATATATGGCACGTGTGATTGAAATAAACATTCAGCTGCAAGTTAGCTTGTGCATGTGTCTTCTCAGTCCCCGTTGCATCGCACTACTTTCTGTAAATTATCAATCCTAACCAACTAGCCTAACAACGTGCCCTAGCACATTTTCAGTGTTCCAGATTCCGTCAAAGTGTCAAAGCCACATCTTTGTAATCTCTGTACAATAGACGTTTGCCAATGTTGCCTCGATAAAGCAAGAACACTTGATTTGCGAATTATTGCCACCATTCATTAGTAGACCTTTTGCGTAATGCAAATCTCTTGTGCACTAAAAAAAAATGCAATCTTTTTGTACGACACATCGAATTACGGTTATGGCCACTGCAGTCTTAACAGTGTTACGTTGCTATGGACTCAATATTGTGTGTAATTAAACATTCCACACACCTGCCTGCTGAAGAGCCAGGATCTCATCCATGTAGTCAAACATCTCACACGTCAGTTGAAAGCTGGTAGGAAAAAAAAAAAGCAAAGTCAGACCATATGTCAATTGCAATTACCAGTCCATTTCAAGGTCCTTAGCAAGAACTTCTATCACCAATAATATTACCCCATTTTCTACACAAGAACTTACTCTGTACCTTACTTAGAAAAGGCTTCCATATTTCACACTGCCAAGTACCACATGGCGACAGCAAGCATTATTCCAGTTGTGTGTTTGTCAGGTGCTCTGTATTTTTCATTATTACTTAAGCTCAATTCATCATGTCTCCACCATGTGCCCTTAATTGCTGTACTACCTCCAGTAATCACAGCCATAGTATGCATACTACTCCTGAAACATACAGCTGATCAATTAGCTAAAAAATGCCATTTTATAGTGGCTTCCCAGGACAATCAGTACCATGTGGCACTGTCTTCTGTATTTAAAAAACAGCAATACAAACACAGTATTATAGACCGCAAACACTATGACCATTTAGTGCAAATCAACAGTGCACAAAAGGGGAGCTGCACAGAAGTGAGTTTCAATACAATAAATAAAAAATACAAACTTATTTTTTCACAAGAATTTCACAATGTATGATGATTTTCTGCATACACCAGAATTACTCGCCTGTAGCCTGCTTATTACTATTTCATATGGATGCACAGAAAACACGACGACACAGAAAATTTGAGGGTTCTAGAGGGGCACAACACCTGCCTGCTTCATAATGATGTAAAAGTAGTGCAAAAGGATGAAGACAATAAAGTGAACACCACAAGCGCTTACTCACAACTCGAAGCTTCATTGCCTGAACAGAAAATATATGTCTAAACTTGACCCTGGACTAAGTAATTCCCGCACATGCACATCATGGGCAGGGCAAAAGGCAAAAACCAGAACAAGAACACACCTCCACCACCCAGCCCACAAGCGGCTATCCCCTTTCCTTGAGTAGTATAACTTCCTATAAGGCCAAACAAGGATTACTAATGCAAATTATGAATCAGTACCAACTAGCCAACTTCTCCCTTTTGCTTCACCTGACTGCTTCTTTGGGAAGGGGGGAAAAATGACGTTCCTGCTTATTTTGGTACATAAAGATACAAAAATTAAAAGGTTTGACAAGGCAGCCCTTACAGCAACATCTGCATCTATGTAGGCTATTTAGACGACAACTGTGAAAACTACTAAGAGTGCTGCTGAATACTTTACAGGTGGCCATACTGGTCTGATCGTGCTTGCATACTTTGCATAGCCATGAACGCACAATACAATGCCTGAACATGTTTGTCGAAACACCTGTAATTGAAATGTAACCCAGTGATCATTAAAGGGGTACTGGCCCAAAATTTCGTGGTTGAGATAGCGTGCGGAATTGATTCCCACGAACAGGCATATATTATCTACAAAATATGAACAGCAAACCTGGCTTAGAAAATACTTTAAATTAATTTTCCAATTTGCGTTAGTGATCGACTCCCTCGCGCTATTGACACCCTCAAAAGCTGACCCTTGGTGACCCTCCTGCTTCCCTATGTGACCCCGCTAAAACAAGTTGTGATCCCGTCATAGGTGTCATATTTCTTTCATAATGTTCGCACTATCAGACAGCTGCCCGCAAGTCCCTGACCATGGCCCACGCGTTGAAAGTTTTGTGTTTGGCGATGCTGCTGTTTCGCTTCCTGTTCGAAAGGACTTCTTGGTGCGAACCGTGCGGAAGTGCGTTGCAGTTCTGTGTGCTGTCTTCGCTGAAAGTTGCACACGCTGGGTGGTGATAGTTGCACTAAACTGCTTGTTGCTTTTGGACCTCTCTCAAACCGAAACTGAGACTGGTCGGTAATGAGGAGCCTGTAATCAATTATCTGTCGTACACTGCAGCAAACGATGTGCTCAAAACAGCACATAGGCCTCCAGCAACACATCGTAGCAAAAAACACGAGGCCAACATTGTTATGTCAGTACACATTTAGGAAGAAAAACAAAAGCAGCCCGAAATCCTAATGTATGCAGTGCATGATAAAGTGACTCACAAAACATTGACATCCCCTTCACCTATGTCATCCAAGGCTTCATCTGTTACGGTTAAGTTGCCAGGAAACTTGGGATTCTGCGTGGAGAAAAAAGAACCAAAAAGACTGACATGTGCACTAGAAAGCCAAATTATCAAACCTTGTTGGAAATAGGCGCAAAATTCTAAAAGATCAAAGAAACATACTACAAGCAAACTACACGACAATGTGACAATGCACCACGTAATAGCCCATGATTTGCATTATAAGAGATGCAACAGTGTGACGTTCAGCTGATGATTGCTGTTTGTGTTAATAACTTGTGTAGTACTCAACATTTATGTGTGTGTTCATAGGCCTTAGTTGATGCTTGTCCAGTAATGCTTGCATGCATTCGAAAAATGTTAAGCTTATGTACTAATGTGTTATTTGAAGCAACAACAGCAACTACTACTACTACTACTACTACAGAAACCTGTGAAGTGCCAGTACCTCTATCCTAGTCAAATGCTTTTTTTTTTTGCACCTCAATGAAAAATACTTTTGCCAAATCAAAAGCATGCACTTTCTGAATCCATACGAAAAAATAGACTGGGAAACAATATTTACTCATAAAGAGGGTACTGTAAAAGTGTAATGTCTGTACATACTGCACGTGTAAATTGCACAAACCAAGCACTCACCCTGTAGTGAAAATTGAGCTTGGCTACAATGAGACGGCAGTAGCACTGGATCAGCTTTCCATAACCTTCTTTGAGTAGGCCCTGCAATGGAGATTAGATACGATAAAATGAGTGTTGCGATTCTGCTAGGCCTTAGTAAGAAAGGAAGTCTAAGAAAATTGAGAGAAATGTATTTGACGTTTGTACTGTAAAGCTGAGACAAGCACAAGAAAAAGGTTTCTTTTGAAAAATATGCTTACAAGAAGTTGTAGCAAACATTTGACAAGAGTATTGGACAAACATTAAGAAAAGGAACAACAAGCATTAGCATTTCGGGGCATAAAGATATTTAAAAAGTAACATGAGACACATAGACCAATACGAAACTTTGAGCTAGATTACTTAAAGGAACACTAAAGCAAACGAATGAATTGGTTTAGATTGATGAATTGTACTCTGAGAACCTTCATGTCATTACTTCCACAACCACAGGTTTATCTATAGAACAGAAAATCAGGGTCAAAGTTTCAGAGACTTCAGAGTGTATTTTTATTTTTGATATTTTGATAACAATGACAAAACGAAATGCTCTGAACCTTTGTAGATTAAGTCCATGTCCCTGCTCCTCAGCGCACAGTGCCTCTCAATTCACCGATTAAAAGCCGCGAAGCACCCAGGAGACGCCATGAAAATTTACGACACCATGGCTATTGACGCGGGCATATCAAGGTGGTGCTGCCACCCACATTTTCTTTTTGCACTCTTTCTCTCTGACCAAAAGTCCTCTCGTGGCGAGCGTGAGAAATTGTGAAGGAGTAATCTACCAGTATTGTAAAGGTAGTTTTCTTTTTGGTGTTCTTTCACAGAAGCAAACATCACTTGCACGAGAACTGAAAATGCATGACCAACTATTGAGCTAAACATCAATGTTTTTAACCTGCTGTACTTTACAGCCTGCACTGCAATTAACGAAGGGCCGCCAGTCAGTTCTGTAAAGCCCATCCACTGATAGCGAGTTCCCGTGACTCTTCCAGTGTTTAAATGTACCGAAAATACAAACGAAATACTCGCATTCAAGTGATTTCTTTACCTAAATCACAAAATGATGTTTTGCTTATTAAAAGTAGTAATTTAAAAAGCAATGCCCTTTTACTACTAGTTTGACAGTACATGTATTTCAGAATTAGTTACATAGTTAACTTTGCTGATTCACCTAGTTAAAGGTTACATTTTGAAAAGTGCAATAAATATGTGCCATACTGTAAATGTATTGTAGTTAGTGAAATCTAAGTAAGCGAAATTTTATTAATAGTTCAGCTATCAGGGTTGAGTTATTGTGCTGCGTCTCTCATAATCATATAGTGGTTTTGGGACGTTAAACCCCACATATCAATCATGAGTTATTGTGCAATTTATGTTGGCCTTTTCAAGCAATAGAGTTCAAGCATTGCATTGTAAGCCACAGGCAATCTTTATAACTTCTATACAGTCCAAAAAAAAAAAAAAGATATATTATACACAAGGTAGCATGTGAAAACCCCTAAGAGATAATACTGCTAGTTAGTTGCTAATCTAAAGTAATCACATAAAGCACAGATTATCTAAGAAGCAAAAAGGAACTCCTTACTTGCATCTTACCAATTCCACCAATCTTCAAAATCTAGAGAGGTTCAGCATGCAACACGGGCATGAACATTATTAAAAAGCCCCACCACCTGGCCAATTTGCCACAAATGACACGAGGTCAGTTCTAAAAACACGCAATACATAACAAAAAGCACAGAAATGCATATTTGGCATTTCTATCACGGGCTAGGGCTCTCAGAAAAAGCAATGTGAAGTCAGTCTGCACAAGAAAACTCTATTGACATTTCACGTGCCAGCTACTCCAACTATATACTTAAAAATTGGATCTCAAAAAAAAAAATTTGCAAGAGCTACTATGTACAGCTAAGCATGCATACATGCACAAACATCATGTGTGGAAATGTGTGAAGTAAGGAGATGAATATACTAGAAAATTTCTTATACTGTGGCACTGTATCGTTTTTTGTGCAATGTCAAAGCTGCTGCCTTGTCATATATCACCTTTATAGATTAAATTGACTTTTTGCTTTCAGTGTGAGCTTCACAATGGTGGTCGAGAAACATGCACTATTGGTTATATCAGCGGTACGTGTAGTCTTTACGCCCAAGTCAATGGCTACAACGTATCAACCCAAGGTTTGTTTACCACGAATATCCATATACAGTAGAATAATTAAACAAAACATGAGGGGGTCAAAAAAGTATGTTTCGTTAAACAGGAGTGCCATTTGCTGAGAGTTAAATTCTAGACAGAATTCATGTACAAAACCAATCATATTGGAAGTAGTTATTCCAATTAAGCAGCAACTCTGTTTAAAAAGATTTACGTTTACTGAAAGTCTACAGCAGATATATATGTGTATATATATATATATATATATTTTTTTTTGCAACAGTTACTATCAAACGTCGCCATGCGAATGCTGAGAATAAATGATGCCTTGAATCCAGATTATTAGGAGTTTTCCAAATGCATGAATAACGGGTGTGCAAATTTGTGCTTTCTTGTAATAAACATCAAGTGATGCATTTTGTCATTGCACTCAAATAAAACAAAAATACCATAGTGATTGAGCAATAAATACAACAAAAATGCCTACACACTACTTTTTAATCAGCTTCCTTCACCTCAATAACCGAAATCGGGCAACCATGCGGATATCAAGAAACTAATAAGGTAGGTCAACTAACAAACATGAACTCCGACACTTTCATTGCACTCTGCCCTTTTAAGGGTAACACATAAAAAAAAATCCAACAATCGACAGCTTCAGGAGACAAAAAGCGTGCCCAGACTCACCCAAAGTTTGCCGTACTCCAGGAATGTCTGGCGATAGCGAAGGGAATCAGGAATCGCCTGCAGTAAGGAAGAGAGGAAGCCCACATTCATTAAATTAAGAGGCACAAAGAAAAAGAATACATACCTTCCAACAGGAAGCTGAAATGTGGTCACAATGTGTCGTACAGTTGAGCACTAATTCAAGCACAAGAAATCCAATAACTGGATTGTTTGACAGTAACGAAAGCTTCATCAATTGAAAATTTGCCAAGAGGTTGTGCTGCGTCATGCATTTGGTTTACAGAAGGAAGGAAAAAGTTGAAATGAATATCCGAGTGAAAAACAAAAATCAAACAAGTTGCCTGCGATTGTTACATGAAGGTTGAGCCTGGTTAAGTCACGCAAGTATAAGAAAAGATACTGGCACCGTTTTGTTGCTGAGATAATCCCACTTCTGAGCCAAATCAACACAGATGAGTTACTAAACTTGTAAATGTGGCATTAGATGCTGTAAAGAAACATCTGAGAAAAGACATGAAAGAGGGCCCAAATTATACTTTCGGCAACTTAGTGTTTTTAATGCCTGGAATGTTATTTGTGCAACATTTGGAATGTGCAGCTCAATAAAATTGCAACTGTTAAAACAGGATGCTCTCATGATAAACTGCAGAGGAAGCAGACATCTGCTGACCACACTGTAACTGGCCTATACATTAGCCTATGATCCATACTCACAAGAAAACAGTAAAGAGAGAGAGAGAAAAAAAAAAAACCTAAGGCTTGCATGGATTACGCAGAACAGTCACAGCAGAAGCTGAAAGAGCAGCCATTCTAGACCCCTATCTAAACTCTCTTGGGGTCGAAGCACACGTGAAAGGTATCCATCAAGCTTTCAATCATAATTCTCCTGATGTAGGGAAGCACCCATTATGCCACGATTTGTTTTTCTGCTGACAAGAAACGTACCCGCAATACATCTGTAAGGCATTGTGCCCACTTTGTTTATGTTGTGGCTGATGACAATGAACAATTATGGCTGAGCACATTGTAGTGGGTGGGAAGCATTAAACCACACACTCGTGCAATTAACATTGTCTGATGACTGGCTGCTATTTTAATGTTCTACTCTTTTGCCATGCTACACTACATACGTTAATGTGTTTCTTTGCCCGACATGATGCCTGTACAGGGTCGTCAAAAGAGTTTAAAGCACCAGCGTGGCTCTATGGAAAAAAATTCGACTGCCATGCAGAGGGCCAGGGTTCATATCCCTTCCAATCCTGGATGTTGTTTATCATTTTATTTTGTTTTCTTATTTGGACCAGTAGCCGTCACAGACAGTGGTGCAGTGGACAACTGTTGTTGTGACCTTATAACAGATTTTACTGTAAAAATGAAACAGAGGGAAAGAAGTCTGAAATGAGAGGCATTGATTCAGCACATGACATTATGCGTGAGCCATGTTCACTATTCTCAGAAACCTACACTTGTAACTGAAGTGATGGTACACTGCCTTAACTGTAATGGTAAACAAATCTTCTTTCTCAAATCAATAATGTACTACCATGAGCAATATGAGCCCGAACACGCAAACATGTGGCGAATAGCCTCACACCCTACGTCTGCTTATTTGCAGTGGCCACTCTCAGAACCAAATTGAAAAGGGTGGCGCACTTCGCCTTGCTGTTGACACTCCTGCCTCGATATTGTTGCTGCAAAATGCCATTTATAACCTGTGTGTAGCTGTTAGCGGTGAGATGACCTCATATCAACGAGCACAGCTACAACCAATCAGGCTGTGCAGCTACAAAGATATTGGCTGCGACGTAGCCTGCCGTGATGCACAGGTCATGTTTTTATTGCATCTATCTGGTGTTCGCTGAACAGTTTGATGCGCATCTTTCACTTTTGTTTTCGCTGCATTTTTCTTTTAGTGTTCTCGATGCTAGCGGCCTACGGCACGCGATCAGCTACCGTTTCACAGTAACAATCAAGCGGGAGTGCCAGCAGTCAGTGGAAGAGCGCCCTCCTCTTCCCCTACTGTTTCGGCAGCGCCATCAACCTATCGCGTTATGTCGATTTTGAGGTCATTTGCCATGTGCTCGCGTGTTCGAGCTCATATTGCGCACGACAGTACATGTAATAAGTTCACTAAAATTCTACGAATCCAACAACAGTCCACTATGGAACATTTTTTTCCCAATGTAACCAAATTTCCTTCCATGCCAGACTAATTGCTCATCTGTAACTTTTTTATTTGCAATAGCAAACAGAGCTGACATGTTCCCCAAGACTAACTTCATCTTGCCTTAAGAAGGCTTTCAAGTGCACCACAAGAAAAAGAGTGATCAGATATCAGAAGGTGTTTACAGAAAGCCTTGGAGATGATAGCCATCACTGCAGCAAAACAAGACTGCACCGGAAAAAAAAGACATGTATGTTGGCAGCACGTAAGGTGCAAGAAAAACGCCGACTTGTTATTGCAAGTTCTTTCATTCACATTATGATATATAATTAGGTGCACTTAGATACTTATATGCATGCATGATATCCCAATATGCCCCTTATTCAGAAGTACGCCATAACCTTCTCTTTGTAGATCTATATGATCAAAAAGAGGACCTTTAATTTTACTTCGAAACCTTCAGGCCCTTAAAAGAATTTTTGCAATCTGTAAGGAACCTTGCTTTTTTTACACTCTATGCAGCAATCTTTCTAAAAGAACAATACTGCGCCAAGAAAATCAGGGAGGAAAGTTGAAAACCCTAAGGTGTACACTAGTCCGCCCACCCGGTGGTATCCCTCGCGGAGCAGTTTGTGCACCACGTGGCAGCACTTCCAGCAGACGATGGGGTTCTCCTGCAGAGGGAGCTTCATCACCAGGCTCCAGAAGGTGTGGGCACCTTTCTCGTGGAATGTGCCGATTATCAGGCCTAGTGCATCTCGTTCAGGAGAACAAACGGGCTCAGAAGAAAAGCAAAGCCACTAATGGCAGCGTTCCCAAATTCACTATGAGCATTTAGAACACTTATTGGAACATGGGGGGGGCGGGCAAAAAAACAAAACAAAAAATGAAACAAGAAAGAATTAGCAGAACAGAGTGACAGCAGAATGGACTAATGTTTTAGAAAGGGCACTTCTAGTAGAAGTGTTGCATAGCTTTCCTTATCTCCCTTTCAGATTTCAAATTGCATGAGGTGTCGAAACAGCACATAATACATTCAGACACATGTAGTAAGTATTTACTTGAGGCATGCTGATTTAAAGCTGAAGTTTACCCTTTCAATGCCCTGCCCATGTTTTAACTCAGTATTAAAGTACACGAGAGCTCAACACGGCATTAAACTTACTTAGAAGACCTTGAGCACCAGAAAATCGAAAAGCTGATTAATTATTAACATTATACAGTAGCAATGCCATGAAAGGGTCTAATCATGCCAAATAGCAAAAGAGTTTAAAGTACCTCTGACAGCAAAAGTTTTGTGAGCGAGTTTTTCACAGTAATTTGTAGCTCTACATCTGTTAATACTGAACATTGCAAATGCTTACAGCAACATGTAATTGATGTTAGTGGCGTTAATTCAGAACAATTTCGCGTCAGCTTAGAACTCAGAACGCCCGCCTATATACCGTAAGAAACTAGTGCCCCACAGCGAAGCAGTGCCTGAGACTTTTTAAATAGGCGGACCCACGTGCGGTGAAGAATGAAACGATGTGCGTGCTTTCAGCGTGTCATCCTCCCCCCCCCCCCCCCCCGAAAAAAAGAAAAGCATTCCTGACCTAGGCAGCCAAAACCACTTTGAGAGCAGCCCGACAACATAGCAAGAGGGGTGCCAGTCGGGGTATTGTGCACGCCCCACAAATGTTGACCCAGCAGCGTTACCAAGGGGAGTCCCGGTCTACGTGAAACCACAGAAAATGTCGATTGCACCTGAATACTCGGAAGAGCATGCACTCTTACTTCAAAACCAAATTAAAATACCTGCTAGGCTACGCTCGCCACTAATAATCAGTCAGAGGTGGCCTCGCATGCAGGACTATCAAACAACACAAGCATCTCAAGTTTCCCAATTTGGTGTCAAGGGTCCTTTAAGTAAACAGTTTACTCCTATGTGCTACGATTTATTGTAGTACACCGCCTCCCCCCCTTTCGTAAAAGCAAATGATAAAAGCAAGAAAACAAGGTTTAGCAAAAATGCTGCACCATATGAAATTATTTCCAGAAAGACTTTTAACACAGCTCAAAATTTATTTGAAAACATTCAGTGAAATCTGTGGACAGTTTTTCAAAAAAGCACCGTAAACGAGTACTGCTTATCACGGAAACCACTGAGACACATGGTGTGCTGTTTTGCAACATGTAAGAACTGCATGCATAGAGCTTGGTACTGCTTCCGAAAAGAACAGACTGAACTTTGACACATGGTTTAAAACAAAGCATAGAGACTGATTGTTTCATTTTTAAAATAAACCTTCTCTTCTTGACTGAAGAAAAGCAGTGCAACGCTCCCACATATTACATCATTTCAAAGATCTGTTTTGTTTATGTCAGCAGAAAGAGAAACGAGGCAGAGCCCATGTAGATGCTATTACGAGTAGCAATGGAGCGAATGCTGTGCCTTCCCACTGTGATGTCTATTTATGGTGCCTTGTACTGGATACCCTCGATAAAATTACTTTCCCTTTAAAGTGCACTTTGAATAGCCAAACGAGATTTACCACCACAAAAATAAAAGAATCAAGAAAAGAACAATAAAAACCATATGCAGCCCTTTGATTAGCTGATTGGAATTTGTTGTGGCAGTGCACCTTGTTGCTCTTCTTTGCCAAACACCCCATTCACATTTCCCATTGCACGAAAGAGTAGCGAACATAGCGTACTAGCACTCAAGTTCTAACTCCGAAAGTACTCGGTACACAATCTTAAATCACTACTTGCAGCATGAACGCAAAGTATATCAGCACCCAAATGCAGCAAACGAGATTTTCGCCGATCAGGTCCTCGGCACCTAATGGAGCTTAGCAGGGTGTTTGAAAATCCCTACTCTACATCATTGGGCTGTAGTGTCGTACTGATGGCACAAAATGTGTCCCAAAATTACATACCTTTTTCGATTACTAAAATGCTTTTGTGCACAATATTGACACTCTAGAAGTTCACAAGCACTGAACTTTTAATCTGACAAAAAGTGTGATTCGTCTACAGTGTTCATTTAAGGTCCCATAATTTCGCCTTAGCAAGACATAATAAAAATCTCAGCAGGGCATGGAATTGTTCAGTTAGGACAGGAAAACCACTGCGAGGCCGCTTTGCGTGCAATTTACTAACACTGAGATAAAACCCATTTCAGGGAAAGGAAATGTGTTTCAACAAGGACGGAGAAGAAAAGGATACTCCTGACGTGCTTCTCTTTCACTGGGCATTCCTGGGAGTTGATGGCTTTGCTGATGCTGACAGCCTGCAGAGAAAAAACGAGACAGGACCTGTTTGCCAACTCTGTAAGGGTGACACGATAATCTCCAGCCATATAGAGTAAAAACTGTCAATCAATGCAACTTCCTGTCTCAGTTTAAAATGCCTGAGCAGCTGTGAAAACTAGGTTATTAACTGACAATTATTAAAAAACAAATCGGGTTTACACACATCAGCAAATTCACTCAACACTGATTGATATGCGGGGTTTAACGTCCCAAAACCACCATATAATTATTAGTGACGCAATTCACTCAACACCAAGGTGTCTTAACAATACAAGGCATTGGTGGGAAACCTATGGAAAAACGAAAACACATTAAGAAAATAGGCTCGCACAGAGGCCTTGCTATTGCAAATATGTAAATCTAGATTATGAAGCATGCAGCTCATGGTGAATTTGCCAACTCTAGAGAGCATGTTTCTTCTAGGTACACGTCGTCCCCTCTTACTGCATTCCTTGGAAACATGGAATATTAAATCTGATGTTTTGACACTGGCAAGTTCACGAATACGGGGATAAGAAAACAACACACAGAGCACTCTGTCTGTGGTTTCCTTGTCCACGTACTCGTGCTCCTACTGGTTTCAAAATGTCCCAGTACCAACTAACTCGAACCCAGCCTCTGATGAAATCCGAGCTCTGTTCACACACAGTCGACGGAGCTGCCAAGCTAAAAAGTGGCCGACCAAAAACAATATAAGACAGGTGATGTTTCGCATTATTTGAATAATGTAGCCACCTTGAACGTTTGATATCTTTTCCTTCCATGGAAACTAACCTGGTTGCTTTCACTGTTCTTTCACATACCAACTTTTAATGCAAATCTATTCTCCCCTAAAAGGCTTCACAGAATAGATTGCAGTGCGATGTGTAACAACACTTAAGTGTCAATATCGTGGTGCTTCTCAATTGAGTAACCATAAAACAACGGTAACTTCACACAAAACAAGTAAAAATGAGGAGAGCAAAAAAGGGGAGTCCTGAAAAAGCTCTTCGTAACCCCTTCCTAATTACTTCTTTTCATTTTTTTACTTAAAAATTAAGTAAGTACTGCGTTATGCTGAAAAGTTCGTGAAGACAGGGTGTAGTTGGAGTCGACGTTCTGAGAAGCAGACTTTTCTCGTCAACGCTACAACAGTTGCAACCTTGAAACAAAGAAGCCGGATTGTCAAAGTGTCAACTCCAATTACTTGCACTTTTCATGAATTTTTCACCATTCATTTCATTCTTGCCCTGAACTTCAGCATAGGGTTAGGGTTGTTTGATTACAGAGCAACTAGCCTAGGTACAAGTGCTGGGCTAGTTTCATGGTAGGTACATGTGCTATTCCTAATTTTTCACAAGCTTAAGTTTGCCAGTACAAATGAAATTGGCTTCAAAAATGTTCATATTAAATAATTTGTGGTGATAAACTTAGACATTTCCACAGATATACTTTATAAATCAGTGCTACTATGCACAAAGATATGCTAGCAAGTGTGGACTTTCTAAAAAGTATGACAACAGTGCAAAAAGGGGTCGGCTTATCACAGGCATGCTTATCTCCAGAGGAAGCTAGTGGTACTTTGCACTAGAGATACCACTGAGAAAACACAATATCAAAACACAACTGAGATAGTGCAAGGCCTCTCCAAATGACACCATTTCCTATAATGCAGAACCAGAGCAACTGCAGCAAGTAACGATGTATACTCCACTCTGTACAGCTCACATGCTCTGAAGCCAAGAGCAGTATTTTGTTGCTGTTGTTGTTGATGTGTGGCGGATCTGTTGATTTACCGATACATTAAAAGCTTAGAACTGTGTTTTTTAGTCCATTGCACTGACAGCAGTGACTACTGTAGTCTATGTAACTGTGCTGTCAATGATCTGTGTGATGTTTTGTCTTATGAAAGCTGAGTGAGCTTATTCATCTAAAACACCTTATAGGCTAGTTGGGCATTGCATAAGGGGGTTCTAAAATCCCCTCATCAGTTTTTACATTAAAGGGTTTCATAAACTGAAGAAGCCTTTCACACAGAAATTCGAGCAAGAATGTGTCCTTACTATGCATGTTAGGCATACTTAGGCATACTTTACTGTCTACTTCACCACATTACATTTCAACTTGAGCACACTAACTCACCACCACAAACTACTATAATTGTGGGTTAGTTGGCAGTGCCACCACAATGAACAGACACAACTATCTGTAAACAAGATGGTGTTACTAACCTTCTTTTGTTTTTTTTTTTCTTGTTTCCTAAATTGTTCCCTATATACTTTCACTTGTGCTGTGTAATTTTGACATGCTACCTAATATATTTCTGTTGTGTTTTTCTTAACTGAGGGTCCCACTGCAGTTGCTTGACTTGGGGACCCTTGTCTGCATACTACTAGCCATGAACTTTTATATTTTCAATGAATAATGATAATAAAAACTGTACTGACACAATCTACTAGCCATGAACTTTTATATTTTCAATGAATAATGATAATAAAAACTGTACTGACACAATGCTGATCTTAGGATAAATGAGATTCAAGCGAAAGAAATTTTTGAAGCCCGCAGTTCCTGCAGTAAAAGAGCACTTTCCACATTTTTTATATGTAGGGTTTAACATCCCAAAACCACCATGTGATTATGAGAGACGCCGTAGTAGAGGGCTCCGGAAATTTCGACCACCTGGGGTTCTTTAGCGTGCACCCAAATCTGAGCACATGGGCCTACAACATTTCCACCTCCATCGGAAATGCAGCCCTCGCAGCCGGGTACCTTAGCCACTAGACCACCGTGGCGGGGCACAGCACTTGCCACAGGAATCTCCTTAATAGGACCCGTGATAAATTTAGTAGTCCTACTAACTTTAGTTTATCACGATAAATGAGATTAGTAAGCTCAGTATAGTTAGTCACACAGAGAAAATTGGCCCCGGAGGCATGTCTTAACTCCATAGATTGGGGAAACTTTTGGAGATCACTCAGGCTCACACTTAAAATATATTTGAAGCTTTCGATACACTCGGGCTCAAACTCACAAAAATTTTTCCGAGCCGGACTCACACTCACGAAAATTCTCTTCAGCTAGACTCACTTGGACTCAAACTCACCCAAACTCAGGGCCCAATCTGAGTCCGAGTGAATTCAATCATGAGCGAGTTCACCGACCTAAGCTTAACCGAGAAGTTCCAATTCTGGAAGCACTGCCCCTCAACTCTTTCCCCGAGCAGCGATTGTCATTTTGCCGAACACTGTTTGACACCGTAAAATTGAGAGCCACCACTGTGTCGTTCGGTTCGTAACAGTGCGACGTCCCAGTGGACGAATTGATCCGAATGGCAATGCTACCGAACATTTGGTAAGGGCGCTGTCATTCAACTGTGCCTATGATTCCTTCACTCGTGCGATAAAATACTGCATCACAGTGCCGAGAAAGGTGAAAAAACAAAAACAACACACTGCCTGGTGGCCAGCTCTTCAAAAGATTTCCCGTTACTGCAGTACACAAAAGCACGAACTCTGAGGCCCGGGAAGTTGTTTGTTGGCGTTTTTTTCAAATTCTTTTTCCACGACTCATGGTTGCAGCACTGCTTCGCTGTTTGACAGTGGTGCCAAAAAATTCAAACACAAATTTCTACTGCACTGAATGAGCTCAAACTTTGGCAGCAATTTGTGAGACATACTTCAGTCAATGCCAATGGTGTGTGTGCTTTTCTTTGCTTTCTGCTCTGTCATTGTTATGTTTGTGCAACTTTTAATAAACTAGGCATTTTGAAAATGTGTCCAATAATCTCTTGAAGTAGGTGGGATATTTCCATGCTTCTCGCAAAATACATAGGTCACAGCAACAAGTACGAAAACATAGATTGTGGTGAACAACCGAGCAGCAAGCAACAAATGTATGTTACTTAACTTATACACCAAAACAGTGCATATGCCAATCAAACCAAAACAGAAAAAAGTTTTTACAAGGGGGCAGTCATGTGAGTTTTGAAGTTTGCAAGAGTGCAAGGCTTCTTATTTTCATGAACTGATAATGCCTGGCTCATTTACTGCAGAAAACCAAAGCTAAATGTCTAAAGAGTGTAGCTACTGTGATCTTCAATGACCCCCAGAGTGGCATCATTCCCCTTACATTTGTAAAGATGAGTTAGTGCTGTTGTTGAATGTTTATTTGGCAAGCACAATCATATGCAGTAACACGATAACAGAGCCTGCTCATTTTCGCTTGACAATGCAAGCGAAACAATGATAAAGCAAACAACAAAAGGTCACTGCAATCACACCTTTCAATGATTCAGCTTCGATTAATTGTGTCAAATCAGCAGGAATTATTCAGTCTCTAGAAATAAACAGCGTGGCCCTTTTGAAAATCTCAATATAAGCAAAGCTATCCCATATACAGAATTTTAATAGGTTCAATCAGCCTGCTCCTTCGTAAAACAGTTCGTTAATATATTCTTGCTAATGACTATTGGGATTCTCAGATCAACCCCTTTTAAGGTGTGTACCACTGAAAGCATTGTAATTCTCGCCAAGGCTGCAAAATCATTTAATCTTCTATATCTTTTCAGATTTTGAGATATATTTCCTGAAATCCACAGTATAAAGTTTGTACGATTACCCTTAATGACCTCCAAATCAATCTTCTGACACTGGTGCAAGCAAAAGGACACTAGGTAGTTTAAAAACTGTCAAAACAGAACTTGCCCAAGTTAAGACAGCACAAAAAGTTGTTCTTTTTCAACCCCAAACTCTGCAAGACATTTCACGTAGTATGTGTTGATATCAAAAAAACTTGGACGACGCTTGAGCTTCAAGAACAAGAGCAGAATGCGATAGTGCCTCACATGCACTGCCTTCAAACATGCTGCGAGAAAAAAAACATTTGCGCATTTAAAATTGCTTTAGACTATCCTAGAATGTCTACTGGTTCAGGATTGTGAGTTGAACTGGTTGGCGAATGTTAGTCGTAGAATAATTGACAATGCAACAAATTACTT